ATTAACTTTTTGCATCTAGTAAAAGTGCCTATTTTACTTATATTTATTTTTCTTACTATGCTTTAGGTCTAAGCAATCAGCGACTAGATCAGACCCTATCTGAGACGATGGTGCTCGATCTCATAGTGCTGGTTGGTTTCGTGGTAGTCAACAACCCGCAGTTACAGGTAATAGTTTGTTTTTATCCAAAAAAGTTAAGAAGTTTTAGTGAACAGTAGATGTTTGACATTTTGTTTTCGATAGTATAATGAATAAAAATGTGTGAAACGTATTTAAGTATAATGTTTTAGAAAAGACCATCGATAAGCTTACAATTTGAAGATCATATTGCGTTAAGTGCAGTTTTGAAGCGAAAAATAAAAAATGTCTAATTGAAACGACCGATTACAGGATCTCCTGTATATCCTGTAATCGGTCGTTTCAATTAGACATTTTCTCGAAGATAATTTTACATGTGATTATTCTAATATTGTTTTTGCTTGTTATAAAATTTGTGTAAGTTTTAAATGATTGGTTAACTTATACAACTTGCTTCTTAGCTTTACACTTATTAAAATATCCCGATGTCAGCTCGACTTACTCGATGATGATAAAAACATTATTTTATTCTAAAAGAAAAATTCTTAAATAATACAATTTGTTCCTAGCACTCTGAGATGAGACTTGCACCCTTTCGCAATCCGGGCGACTGCTCTAATCACTGAGGTACCCAGGACCTGACCAGGTCGTCGGATTGCGAAAGGTCGTGGATTCGAGTCCCATCTCAGAGTGCCAAGGACAAAGTGGATGTTTTAAGTACTTGTCATTAAAAAAATTGTTTAGTATAACATTGTGAATGCAAAATTGATCAAATATAAAGATTGTTTTATATAGACGTGAATTTTATTGTTAATTATTATAATGGGCAACGAATTCACATTTTAGCTTAATAGAATTGTAATTTAAATATGTTGAGGGATAAATTGTTTTTATAAGCAAAGTGCGTATGTGGCATTTTAAACAACCAATCGACTTTAAATAAATAACACCTATTAAGAACTTTAATACAATTAACATTCTTTTCGTTCTCGGCCAGTTTGACCGTTGCGTTTCCCATGCGGGCAACACCTGCAAAACACGTGTCAAAACGACGAACAATAATTATAATATTAAACAAGACGTTTGACCTTCTCATTATCAGCAAGAGTCTTTAGAACACATTGTTGATCCATTTTGCGATTAGAAATGTCATTAGCAACTCATTAAGAACCTTCCGCTATGTTAAATGTTGTTTGTTTTCGTTTTTTCTTTGTGGTGGGTTAATGTTTTTAAGTGTTGCGCAAACGTAGACACTTTAGTGTCTTATGTGGAAACAAACTATTGGTGAATATTTAATTTCCATATTTCTTCTCTGTTGCTTCGCTCTGCCAAGAGCGGTCACGTCGAGGCGTCTATGTTAGAGTTAGAGGAGGACACAGCCTTCTTCAGGATCTCTTTCCGTTTGCAGACTGTTCGGCGCAGTCTGACACCTGGTTGACCAAGGCGGATTTCACTTGATCAGTCCAGTGCATATGTGATCTCCCACGTACTCTAGTTCCCTCTGCTTTCCCTTGCACAACTAGCTGTTTTATTGAGTTTTTATCACGTCTAGAGACATAGCTAAAGAGTTGCAGTATGCGCGTCTGTACTACAGTGGATAAATGCTTTGTGATACCGAGTCGTGGAGTTAGGACATGTTGGTGCGAAACTCTGTCCACGATATGCCAAGCATCTTCCTTCAGCACCACATCCAAACGTTAGACTCACGCATTCCATTCTGTGAAATAATTCCTGTATGAAATAAAGTAGTGTCACCTGTGTATCGCAAATTTGAGATCTTGTATCCACCAATTGGTAAACACCATCGGTCCAGCCCTCAAGAGTGATTTGTATTTTAAGCTCGGTGTAGATGTTCCCTATTCGATTCGATTCCATCCATAGGGAAGGCCTGAGCCCCAGCAGTGGGGACATTAATAGGCTGGTGATGATGTGATGATGGTGATGTAGACATTAAAGAGTGTTAAAGTGTTTATTTTAGTTAACTGTACGTCAATTCCAATACGTTGGCATTGACGTGACCGTTTTGCTTAGCGAGGTTTTTGTTTTTTCATCACCTTTCTATGTGAAACTGAAGGAATACAAGCAATTAATTATTACCAGTGATCAGAAATTGCAAGCGCGCCTGTGACGTCCTGTGACGATGTTTTGTAGCAAAAAGAGATTATGTTTGTGGAGAGCTTAAAGAGTTTAATTTTAATTAATAATTATAAACAACTTAATTAACTTTATTATTAAAGCTGAATAATGTTTTTTATTTGCCGTCAGATGCTATTGTATTGTACTGTATGATCTCGTTATTGCCCTTTAGGCTGGCCGCATATATTCGTTTTTCGTGTTCGATTTCCTGATCAGGAATTCGGAATTCCGGATATGCGTTATGTTATATTTTTTCTATTAGGAATAATGTATTTTAATTCATGGAGTATCATAAATTCACTACAGAATGGACGATAGTGTATTGAATCTTTTAGTTTTCGATCATGGGTAGTCTGAATTATTGATGTTATAAATGTAAGGATTTTTCTACAAACATAGTCAAGTTCCTTTATCAAATAATTAATACCGCAAAAAATAAACATATCAAACTATGCACAGCTTTGCCGCCGACGAGGTGCGAAATTATAATTTTCGTTTTTTTAAGCAAACACTGCATCCGAAACTAACGTGTGTATACCGTAGTGCACTTAGGCGCGCGTTTGGTTCTATTAATCTAATCAAACACGGTCAATGAATACCTATGTGCAGCCTAACTGAAAGAGCTTTGGTGATATAAGAAACAACGCCAGGCTTCTGTGTTTCTCAGTATTTCTCAAAAATATCTGGACTGAAACTTAGTTACACATAATGACCGATCGTCAAATCTAAAAGTAATTCTTCTCACCTTTCTTTCTTCTTCAAAATTGTACCCGTTTCTGTAGTGTATCTTCGTCTGGGTGCAATGAATAGTACATTATTGATATTTTGGAAATAATATTCCCTACAGTTCAAGCTATCTCTGCAAAATTGACAGATAAGCCTTTAGTATACATATTATTTTAATAAGCTTGATTTTATATTGCTGTTTGATAAACTATCCAATCGTTCGTCTAAGTGAGGGTAGTCGTATCGTCCTCGTAGTTTGTTTCTCACGACATGGACGCAGGTGCTATGTCCTGAATCAAGTCACCCCCGCCCGCATAAAACGTCTTGTCCACTTGTGCCCAGGGTTGCCTATATACTTTTGGAATTGTTTTTGCTCAAGTAATGTCATAAAAACTAAAGTACACGTCAAAAGGCGATAATGTGCCAATTTTTCTTTAACCATTGTCGAAGTAGTATACAGTGTGTACAATTTTAAAACTCGTATTATATATACATTTGTACACGAAAAATATTTTTAAGTTTTTTGAAGTTCGGTCCTTGACTTAATATTTTATATTTTATATTTATACTTTATATTTAATATTTATATTTAATATTTTATATTTAATATTTTATATTTTTATATTTTTTTTGTAGTATTTCGTTTAGGTTTTATGTGTCCTTTCGCTGTTAGTTCCATTACGTAACAAAAACTTCTGGAACATTAGCTATTTATGAACCGAGTAAATTGACAACCCTACTTTTGCCGCTTCCCACCCACGGGACATTTACCTGAATTATTAATTTTCACTTTTTACTACTTATAATTGAGACGAGCAATGAACTCGTTGAAACACATGGGCCCTCTAGAATTTATGTTGTTTTGTTTACGGTGATAATGGTTAAGTTGATTGCTTTAATGCTTGTTTGATGGTGTTCGTGCTGTTATGTTGTTTAGTGCACAGGTGTCTTAATGGACTTTTTTGACAATTTTCTTTGGCACATTTGTGTTTAGCTTTCGGCCGCAAAGCACATATGTGTCAAATAAAGTTATCAAAAAAACTCTTTTAAGACACCTGTGTGCTAAACAACATAATAGTACAGAACAATAGGGCGTGGACACAGGAATTCATTTAAAAAGTGAAAATATATTTTTTTTTATTCAAGATCTGGGCTGACAATATTATAAATCACAAATAAGCGCTAAGTTAATATTGATACAAATATTTGTAAAAGAAATTTTCTTAATACCATTTAAAAAGAAAATAACTAATAATAATAAGCTGCAGTATAGACATAAGAGGCGGTCCATTAATCACGTGAGGCTCGAAAGGGGGGGAGGGATTCGTCAAAAATCACGAAATATCACAAGGGGGGTGGGGGGTGTAGTAATATATCACGTGTTTTAATTTTTTTTTCGACACGCGATTATTAAACCGAAAAGCGACGTCAAAAATTAGGAATTTTTTGTTTTTTTTTAAATACTCGTGTTTTGGTTGAAGGAGGGAGGGTAGTCTTAAACCTCACCATGTATCACCAAGGGGAGGGGGATCAAAAAATGTTGAAAAAAAATCATGTGATTAATGGACGGCCCCTTACAAGCCGAACAAATAAAGGAAAAGGTAAACGTCTTGTCGTATATTAAGGGGTCAAGTTTGTTGTAGAGTAGAAACAGCAATCCCATTTGAGATTGGAAAATAGGCAGAAGCAAACTGAACATTAGTCCATATGGAGTTATAATCCAGTATCCAGCGCAATATGGAGTGATAATTTTGAAATTGGAAATAAATATTAGGTACATGGTAGCAATCCAGTAACTAACAATTATTCTTGTGTTCATTAATGATCATGAAAGTTTAAAGCAACATAATTTGAATTGTTTTCAATTTCGTTTTACTTGGTTTAAATTACCTTTTTTTTTGTTATACTTTTGATTTTATGTAATAAGTAGATACTGAAACAGTATTTTTAAACCAACGTATAAAGGGTCTTATGTGATAAGAGATAGGTAATTTTTGATCCGCTGCGTCAAAATCGATGCGTGTAATTAAAATTCACCTTAATTAAACGCATACATTTCCAGATGAAATGTATATTGGGATATCTAAAAAACCAGGGGCCCTCATCTTTTTCTGCTTTATATTTTCAATCAGTATAAACTCTAGGTCATTAGCTGTAGGAGATTTACAATGTGAGTTTTCCCACAGGAGATGATTCTAGACGGATGGAGCGTCATCAAGACTTTGTGCACTCTACCCGCTAACTGGCTTGTCTCACGGACGCATAGTCACGCTTTGCTGCCGACACTGGTGGCGTTGTCAGCTAGACCGGAGGCAGCCGCTGCTATAGCGGCAGAGCTAAGCATGGAGGTGAGATATTAAGCACAGATTTCTACTACTGACAGGAAAAGACTTCTCTACACGTATAAATTAACTGAACTGCCTATTATATATCCCCGAAAACCTATATGTAAAATCAAAACTCGTACTAGTTTTTTTTTAAACCAGATCAAAATATAGTAAGAGAACTTACTAGGTTTTGAAATAGTTTTTGAGATAAATTTTTTCTTGCACATTTAAAACATTTTAGTTCGAAACACAAACAATTTATATATCAAATTAAATGTTTCTAGCTACTCCTTCTTGTAAACAATAATTGATCAACAGGTAACATATAGTTTAAAAAGGCTATCCTTAAAAGTGTTTTTTATTGATTTCTTCTATTCAAGTGTTTTTTTGCTCTTCTGTAAGATTTAGTCAAAAACTTACAAGGTTTTGAAATAGGACAGTTGACTACAAGACACAAATTTACGTAATATCATTTCTTTTTGTATGTTGGTCTATCTACAAACGTCGTTCTATACAGGTGTGATGTTCTTTCAACCAAGTAAGTACATATCTATCAGGAATAATAGAGTAAATGATGTTTTTTTTTGTCATATAGATGTTGGATGAATTTATGGAGATTCCTGAAGCTCAGAAGCTGAAGTTGGTGCAAGTTATCAAACAAGGGCGCGCCAAGAAGACCTCGAAGAAGTGAGTACCTACAACCAACGGAGTAGTAAGCACTTTGTTACTTATAACATGACAATGCAACATGACGATGTGCAACTATATTATGCCAATAATAGTTTTCATAAAAAAATCTCAAATAACTTCTGAAGAAAATCAAAAAAAGAAAAATTACATTTTAATTTGCATTCTTAGTGCATTACAAAAAATTGTTGATCGAAGATACGATAAAATAGAAGAAATTATGAGACACATTTTATTTTTGCACATTACACGTTATAATGAAAACAAATAACTAGACACTAAAACTACCTAATTAGTCAATATCGCGATAGATGATGGGAGAGGCGACACTGCTTCTTATAGCCGGTTTCTTAAATGAGAAAAGTACATAATCTCATCGGGTTATTCTCAAAAACTTAAGTTATTTTTTACGTTTCACAAGTCAAAAAGTCCTTGTTTTATCAAAGTGTACATCAAACGATCATTAAAAAACTAAAATCAGAAACGAAAATCTGTTTCAATGATGTTTATATACAATTTGAGACGTTCTTAATAACGTTACAGTTTACTTTAAATTCTTAATTCAGAAACCGGTGTTAGTTAGTTAGATGTTTTGTCGTCAAAAAATTCGCAAGCTCTTTATAAAAAAGATATGGAAATGTCTTTTTTATAATTAATTATACTAACGTGTTTGTCGATCGCAAAAATTTACGAACGATTTCGAGAAAATTTGATAGCTCGCACTTTTTTCGCATACGAAATTTATAAGCCTATAATAACTCTACCGAATTAGTGATAGGTTCGTCGTCGTAATGAAATTTTATTTCTTTAACCATAGTAAAGTACAGTAAAACAATAAGTCACGTGACACTGTTGTCAGAACTAATCATATTACTTTCTGCTGTAAGCTATGACAAGGATATTTTTTTTGTTAGTATCCTATCTAAAGCTCCCAGTCCTTTTTATATGCAATGCAAACGAAAGCGTATTTAAGTACTGAATTTTAAGGAATTTAAATTTAGCTGTTGTAGTAGAAAAGGTATTCATAGACATATTGCACGTGCTTGACACAAACCCATATCAGATAAAAGCGGTAATTCTCATTGATAAGTTTAACATTAACATTCATAATATTAACATTCCATGTTAATGTTGCTATTGTTATAAAATCTATTACTGTCCTCTATAATTAAGAAGGTAATCCAAACTGAACTTTTCAATGTAGGTGACGAATTTATATCTACATTTAATGTGACTTTAACTATTTTTCTATGAGATTAGAATTTATATTTTTGTGTTCCATAAAACTATGTAGTGATTTGGAAAAAATTTACAGTTCTTTGTTTAATCTAGTATTAATATTATTCGGTTAAATAAACAGCAAAATACTTTTAAAATGCTTCTGGTTTATGACAAAAGTATTTTCAAGTCGCAAACTCATTCCAAATTTCTGTTTGTACTATTTATTTTGTTACATACTTAAAATTGTTTTGAGTTTAAGGATCTGTCGTCATTCTAAAATTTGGAAAATGGTATGCCATTAAATATTAATTAATGATTTAATTGGAATTTTTAACCGTCTGACAATTGGTCCACAACTTATAGGAATGAAAAGAGTCGTTGGAAATTAGCTGTAATGAATTTAGAGTGAAAAGGTGTGCTAAAAGTGTGCCTTGTGGGACACTACTTTTAATACAGAAATGGGATCCCATGAATAATGTAAGTAGGATTTTTAATTAGGAACGCTGTGATAAAGGCAGGGCTAAGGTAGAAATTGGCATGTGTATAAAATTTTTAATAATGTACGGTTTATTGGAAAAAATAAACATTTAACTGACTAATTGGTGACTTAATCGAAAGCTTTACGTCAGTCAGGCATTGGATATGGTATTTCTTTTAAATTATGGTAATTGTTGATTGATTTTGTGATAAAAAATTCAATTATTACTAAAACTGTGATTCTATATATCTTTTATTACTTATTTATTTTTTTGGCAAATAAATGTAATATATAATTAAATAAGTTTAGTTGGTAAAATGCAGAACCGATATTGTTGTATTAAATGTCTGTGATTTCTTTCATTTAGCATCTATACTTAATGTTTCTCGTGTAACTTCATTGTATAAGTGGCAAATAAATATTTGTGTAACATTTATGAATTGTTTTTATTAAATATATCCCTTTGATGTTAATGATATTTGTGCTTCACTAATAGGTATTGTATTATCGCCGAATTGAAATTAAATATGAAGAACCATTGTGTCTCATTCATAAATTGTTTTATTTTTAAACTTTGTCAAGCACGCCACTGAATGAAGCGAGTTCTTTGATCAGACTAATTTAAATGCTGGCTTTAAGTGCTGAGAAATTATTGTCGTGCGGTTGAAATAATTCTGCTGGTATTAATATGGAAGGCGGATTGTTGCTATGTATTTAAATGATTTGTGGGTTGATGTGGATTGTGTAGATGTTGACTTTTACACGACTTATAGTGGTTTATAAAATAAACGACGGACATTTAATTTCTTGTTAAATGTGATGCAATGTATCGTTTTCAGATATCCTGGATACACTAGGAACCTATTACCTATTCATTACGGGCGCTTCATTACTTATAGGGTTAAATTTTTAGTCATCATTATTTGAAAAAGTGCGGTCACTACAATCAATCGAAAATATTATCTATCACCCTACGATTGAAGTTCATTTGATATTATTAAAGGAAAAGGCCGATTTCCCTTAGCAAATAATTTTATAAACATGCTAGCTTTCCGTCAGCGGCTTCGCCCGCGTGGTTCCTAGGGAACTGTTTATTTGGATATCGATTCATATAATGACATGGATATAATTAAATTGAATAGTAAACAATGGTTACTATGGGAACGTAATTCGCTATACAAATTTCCACTCCCATTTTCATCTCTTTATTTGCTGTTTTTCGGGGTAAAATATAGCCTATGCTCATCGCATATGATGTAGCTTCCCGAATATGAAGTAATTTTTAAAATCGGTCCAGTAGTTTCCGATTCTATTCGATGTAAACAAACAAATAAACAAACAATTCTCTGTATTTTATAAGTATAGAAGTATAGATTATAACAGTGATCATTACTTGAAATGTCAAACATCTCTGAGTTTAATACGAGTAGTAGATTTCATAGATACTTTTGTCAAAACTGGTAGATATAAGCAGCTGTCTGCAAAGTGGTATAAACGATATATACCTTATTACATATATACCTTATTTATATAGGTATATACCTTACTTACAATAAAATTGAATACCTAGTACGTTTAATAGTATTAAATGCTCTAAGTATTTAAGTTAAAAGTTCGATGAAACCTATTTTGTTATGTAGTCTACATATATGGATCTTACTTAGGTATAAAATTTTTAAAGTTAATTGAGTGGAAGGTACTACGCCTTATCTCAGATAAGTTGAACGTGCTCAGTCAGAATAACAGTTCGTATTTCAAAGTTCTTATTTCTTTTAGCTTTTTAAAAGTCACTTCCTTAACATTACGACATTAGGCACACACGACTACCTCACAATGGATACATGACCCAACACTTTTTAACCGAATCTGTAGAAAAATGACGAATAATCGTCCGGAGCGCTAGAATGGAAAATGGTTTCCGATTGCGGAGGGCTTTGCATTCTAAAATGATGGAGTAATTGTGCGCAATATTCTCATGGCTCATTGGTTCGATCGACAAAGATTTGAAGTCTTATAGATGTGGCTTTTATAATATTTATTTAATAATTTCAAATTCAGAAACTCACACATAAATCCCAGGTACCTATATATTTTGTACTTATTATAGCTGTTTTTGACTAGTGTCAATAGCGTTTATTACAAGATAAATATGAAAAAATCTTGTTTAGATATGTCCTAAAACTTTCCACTATCACATCGATATAATTAATTTAGGGATTTTATTTATTAAGCTATATAGGAAGGTCTCCATAATTTTGTCATCTGCATTCAGACCATATTACTAGAAGGTCTTTTAGATATTTTGTAAGCTCGGTGTCAAATCATGAACACAAAATTATTTTCCTTATACTCCAACTTCTATACTTTGAAAAGCTAAGGAAAGTGTAAGATGATATCTTCGACCTTACCTCCTTCTAATAAGAGTAAAATTAAACGGTAAGCGTGTCGGACTACTGTGGAGCGTCGATGCTAAAGTGTACCGTCAATCCAACACTAATGGAGCATAATAAATCGATAGAGAGGACACCTTATTAAAAAATATAAATATATATATATTTGACAAGTTTGATGTTTTGTATAAAAGTTTTCGTGTATTATAATCATAATTATGGTATATTTTTATTTTCCACGTAATTAATAACTGCTATACAATCCTGTTAACCCCTTAAAACCATCTTTTCACGAGAAAAGGTAACTTATGTCTTTTCCCGAGGTCAATTATATCTATGTACCAAATTTCATTATAATCGGTTCAGTGGTATAGGTGTGAAAGCGTAACAGAGAAAGTTACTTTCACATCCACTCTTTGAAATAAAAAAATATGATTTTGAAGTTGAATATTATTATCCTCTTGTGTACTATTATAGCATAAGTAAATCACTATCATCTTAATTATTTATAAGATTGAAAAATTTGTTGACAAGATTTATTAGTCACCAAATCTGACTGACTGACTGGTTAAATTCCATTTAGCCAATCAAACAGATATTTGAAAAATATAAGATAAGTATTGTTTTTTGCTTCATTTTAATAAGAAATAGCTTATATGCCTGTTGCATTGAGGTTGAGGAATGGGGGCTCGCGACGTTATGTGACATTTTAATTTGTATTGTTGTATTGCCGTAATTAATTGATCATGCAAACAATAAAAAATAAGGTTTAATATTCTTTAATAATCTATCTGACCGATAGAAAAAAAAAAATCTAAGTAGGTACTGTTTTACAAAGTATTGTAATGATATCCAAAAGTAATATATATATATAATACAATTTAAATATATATATATATATTATTTATTAATATCTATTTTGCGAATCATTCCGAGAAAATGAATTTATAAATATATTTAAAATATACTCCATACGTTTGGTGTCCTGCGGTGGCCCCG